TTTTTCATTCTGACGCTTAAGAAGTACATCATGTGTCAAGAAACAGTTCACTATTCCAAACTTATTCCCCAGTTACACAATAATAACACACCTCAACAACATCCTACCCTCAGCCATCTCATTCCAGGATTTCAACTCCTATTCCCCGCAGCTATAGTAAGTATCTCAAGTGTAATTTCAATCTTCTCTCTTCTTCAAAATATATGATTTCTGAATGACAATATCATTTTTGGGTGACAAGAGCAAAACAAATGCTAAGATCAGATCGAACCAAACAACATTTTAATGGCATATCCGAATGGATCATGTTCGGCTTCTTCAGATGTAGTCCTTGATGATGACATTGCCACTGCTGAAGGCAGGGCTTCAATCACTGCATTTGCCAGATCGGTGATGAATGAAGAGGTGCAATTTAGAGCAGGAACTCGGCCCCAGAGTTTTCAATGCCAGATTCCAGAGCCAAGTGCTTGTACTCCATATCAATCTCTTCAAGGGTCTCTATATGCTCACTCACAAAGCTGGAATTTCAAAGTACAAGAACAATCAATCACGGAAATATTAACTAACAACAACAAAAAAGAGAAACCGACAATATATAAAGAAAAAAAAAATCACCCAGTTTAAGAGGATATTGAATAGAGGCCATATAACGTGGAATTTTATTGTATTATGGGAGACTGAAAGTACTAGCACTTATTTTGCATGACTATTAATAACTTATTGCATACCTCACAGGAACAGCCAGGAGATTCTTCACACCTTTTTGGCCAAGCTCAACAAGAACTTCATCAGTGTAGGGCTTCAACCATTGTACAGGCCCACTCCACTCGACTCTGACAGAAAGGGGGAAACATCAAATTGTAATCATTGGCCAATAAAATAGCCCTAGGTATTTTTCTATTTTCAAGATTTTTCTTCTCCTTTCATGAGGAAGGGGGGGCAGAGTAATTGGGAGGGAGCTTCCAGTTAAGTGGAGCTTCCTAGATGGCACTCCATGCTAATGCCAATGACTATGGAAAGCTTGACAATTAATACTTAAAAACTGAATACTTAGATAAAAAATCAATACTTAGATATTATAACCAACCTGATAAGCTAGAGTATGATCATTTTTTATTCCTCTTGATTTCAATTCTTCCATTATCAAGTGAATGCACTCCTGCATCTGATCTCTGTATGGATCACCCGCATCCTCAACGTAACTGACTGGTACCCCATGGGCACTGAAGAATATCAAGGCCTATAACACAAGAAGGAAAACTAAGCAACACACTTAAGAACGGCAAACAAAATGCAAACTAAATAGACAGTCCATAAGCCATAATTCTGAAGATCTTCTATGTGTCAAAACTCTGTGATTAATAAAAGAAAATAAACCCACCTCCTCAGGTTTAGAGAAAATCTTTAACTCCTTCTCAATCAAGTCAGCCCATAGAATTGATATAACCTTCTCGTTGATACCAGGACTGTATAATGGAAACAGGTAGTCTTGCCAAATATGCATCTTCCCTAAAAGACAGCTCAAATTCAGATATGTTTATCAGAATGTAAAAACGAACAAGTACCACTTACTCTGCAACATGTTGATGATCCGAAGTTCACAAACTGAAAAAAAAAATCACCTGAAGATGCTCTGCAAAACACGGATGCTTGACCCAGTCGTAGAGATGGAATATTGCGGATAGAGAGGCAGCACTACAAGTTTTGTAACCCTGTCCCTTTTAATCTGTAACAGAAAATGGAGAAATTTCAACCGTTTTGAACCAAACAGTACAAATATGATGAAAATATGTATAGCACCAAACAATTGCTTGAGTGAAATTAGAAAGGTGAAGCCGTCAAGTCACCAAACTACCAATCAGAAAGGATTTGGATTATTCTCTTAGAAGGCAACTAATACTGTCAGTCTCAGATCTATGCAAAAATAAACAAATGTTTAAGTTTAAAAATGGAAAGAGGTGCATTTTAACAGGTATTCGGCATGTGAAGCATTTTGACCAGAAAACACCCATAGAAAATGACTATGGTTCTGTTGGAAACACAGGTAGCAAAAACAAACAGCTCTTTGTTTCAACAAAATGGGTCGACAGACAAGTTTAGAGCTTTCTGCACGTTCTAGATATCTGGAACCTTCCTAGAAGATTTTCAAATAATCATCCTTGGGCAAAATCGATATTCAGCCTTTTCATTTTTTCAGCAATCCTGCCATCAAGTTGGTTGCGATTGAAATTCTAATTCATGGACCTGACCTTGTAGTCATTTGTAAATAGAGGCGTCCAAAGGGAGGCACAAGTGAATCATAATGCAACTCAAGAGAACAGAAACAACAACCATCACCAAAATACTGGGAGACTAGTATTTATCACATTGCAGGTGAAAGTGAATTGCCAAAAAAATGATAACAGGAATGATACTTAGTTAGTATCTCAAACTTGCCTGCTTAACAGCTTCCTCAGTAAAGGGGTGCCAGTACCGCATGGCAACATAGACATTTGCAGGGACTTCCTTGGCTTCCAATGCCATTTTAAGTGCATTAGCCTGCAACACAAAGCTCAAAAATTGTTAACATGGTAGCTAACAATATGACATGCAAACCACACCAGATAAATAGACAAACCACTGAATAAAAGAACAGAAAGCCAAAATAAAAGAGAAAGCTAAGAACAACACCAACCAATCCTATGAGGAAAAACACCATCCTAACATGAACAGAAACAAGTATTTCTTAGGTGGGCAGTGTTTACCTGTTCATCCGTTATTTTTCGCAAAGGCGAACCACCTCCAATGGCAGCATACCCTTCCTTACTTTTGGGAGCCCGGAGTACAGAAATGAGTTGCGCCAATGGTTGTTGGAGGAATCTGAACAACCTAGGGAGACGTATGATATCCTGTCTCATAAAATATTAAATTCTTAGATACAACCATGAAACAAGAATCCTAATTATGATCATAATTTGATAAAGGGCATAAAGTGCCAAACTAATATACCGGATCTGCAAACAAGTTGAACAAAAATGGCTGAACATCATGAAGTGTTTCTGGTCCTCCAAGATTCAAAAGCAGCACTCCTATCTTTTCCTCTGAAGTGTGTGAATGAGATTCAATAGCACTCCCGGGGTATGTGCACACTTCTGCAGAGCAAAATGTTTTCCCAACTGGGTTTCTCTTCTGAACCGGAAAATCATGTGCTAATCCTCCAAGAACCCTACTTTCTTTATCGGTCGAGTCAAAACACGAAATAGATCCTTCACATGTAGCTATATCAAGAAATTGTTTTCCCCCTGATGAACCACAGCAGGTAGGCATGGCCTGCCGTGTCTGAGGGCAGAAACTGCCAGTGAAAATACTCAGTTAGAAGATTAATTTAAAAACAATGCTAACTACCTATGTTATGTACATACTAGTAGCATTATCTTGATAAAATTTTCATATTCTCTGGTGTGGCATGGGAAATTATCACAGTACATACCATAAAACATGATGAATGTTGCAAAAGAAGAACTACTCTCTGCCTTTTTTTTCTTCTCCAGTCATAGGACAGGGGCTGAGGGTGGGAAAAGCAACAAATAAGAGCATTCCTTGATTTTTTTTTTTTAAAAAAATCAACTCACCAAAGTGTGCCAATGGGGCACAACATGAACAGTCATTGAATTAAAACAAGTAATGCACAAAAGTCATTACAGAATGACACTTTTTCTAGTAAAGTGGAAGAACACAGAATGTCGTAAAAATCTCCTCTTTTTTCTCGTAGATTTGCTGTTCTTAACATGTGTACCCCGAGATTTTCTCTCTATTTGCCTACTCAACCTTTCAACTCTATAAAATATGTATAAGTGCAATTACCTAGAAACGTTTATTAATTATAAAGCCATAAACCTACAGGGTGGCCCAGTATGTGGGGCTCCCACCACTGCAAAGTTTGGAGGGTAATATGCAAGTAGCCTTCGCCCCGCATGCAGTAAGCTATTTCCGTAACTCGAACCCCTAATGCCCAAGTGACAATGGAGCAACTTTACCGTACCAACCCTCTATAAAACCATAAACCTAATATCATACAAGTAAAGCACAAAACAGCTAGTACAAGCTAGCTCGTTTCAAATTTAAAAGAAGTGAATTTACTTACTCTTTTCAAGCATACCATTATGGTAAATTGTGGAACTAGCTAAATGAAAACATAGTGATGAATGACCATTATATCAACATCTTCCTATTTTTTTGTCAAACATTTTATCAAACATCAAATACCAAGAAATTTTAGCATTTATACTTTTTACATATCAGAGAGAAAAAGGAGAGAGAAAAAAAAAAGGACTTCGGAACTTCATTTTACAGAAGAGAAACTAACTTATCGAGACAAAACTCAACACATGAAATGAATTTTTTTTTTTTTAAGCAATTGCAATCCCGTCAATTCTAATCACCTTGATCAACCTACAAGCATATGATTTTTCACATAATTTTACAAATTATAATACCAATTTTGTACTAACGAAATATAAATGTTTTAGCATATACCACAGTTCATATATAGATGAATGGAACTGCTTGATGAGTAAGCTTACCTTGAAGAATTACGATTCAAACAGCGGAGATCAGATCCCGCAAGCTTCATTTGTGGAAGAAACCGAGAGCTCGTTGCGGCATCCATGGCCTCGAATTTCCGAATTTCCGAAGTTCTGGTATCTGTATCACTGTATGACTATGTACGTAGATAGAAAGCCTTCAATCTGTATCTGTCTCACAGACCAAAAGAAGTACGATCTTAGTTTTTTAGGGTTCTACAGAATTTTCCTGAAAAGAGAGACAGTATATAATTACAGAATTGGTCAGAGAGGATATATACGTGTTCATCAATGGAGGCGTGTACAGTAGCGTTGATCTTTCCACGAAGTTGTTGGAGTTGTTATTTTTTTTTTAGGGTTAATTTCATTTTGAACCCTAAAAATATTTTAATTTTCAATTTTTACCCTGAACGAATTAAATTCTCAAATTATATCCTCATTGTTATAAAATAGATGCAAGATAGTCCAATTCGAGGGTGAAATTTAAGATTAGGGTGTAATTTGAGGTTGAAATCGAGCCACATTGCACTTGTTTTATAAGATTGAGGGTATAATTTGAAAATCTACTTATTTAAGAGTGTAAATTGAGAATTAATATATCTTTTAGGGTATAAAATAAGATTAGTCTTTTTTTTTAATTCTGATAGATGGCTGGTTTTGACCAAATCTCATATATACATTTTTTTCAACAGTTGACTTTGACTTCTATGTGAAGAACACTCACTAGAAATCCACCATAAGGCTATAAAAAAAATATTATGAATTTCTTAAGGGATGCTAGGCTGCTTCGTTGCACTTCACTCAGTGGCACGTTGAGTGCTCGCTTCGTTTTCAATTATTTAATTCAATCAGTTGTTGAATTAAAAAATTATTTTATCGTATTAATGTTAAATTAACAAAAATATTTTTAATTAATATATTATGATAGTTTGATTTTATCAGTTATGTAATTATAATAATAAATGTGTATATAATAATATATTTGAATTGGATTATAACACCATATCTCTTGGTGGTATTAAAATATTTTCATAATACATGTTTATGGTATTAAAAATATAAAAATAAATATACAATTAATATATATTTTTTAAAATTAATACGAAATTAAATTTATCTACTAAATAAAATATTAAACACGATTAAATAAATAATAGTACAATACAATATTTAATTTACATATGACTCGTTTGGTAGATGTATTATGAAGGGGATTAAATATTTGATTGTAATATTTTTTATTTAATCGGATCTAATACTTTGTTTGATAAGTAAATTTGATACCGTATTAATTTCAAAAGCGTATACTAATCGTATATTTTTTATACATTAGACAAGCATTATGGAGGAATTTTAATACCACTAAAAGAGATGGTATTATAATTCAACTCAAACGTATTATTTTACACATTTACCATTATAAGTTTATAAACCCCTAATTGATAAAATCAAACTGTCATCAATGTAACAAATACTAATTAAAGATATTTTTGTTGATTCAACATTAATACGATAAAATAATTCCTCAACCAAACAATCGATTGTATTAAATAATTATTATCCAACGTATATATTGTGTATTATTAAACACTAGATAAAATTATGTATTATTTTAATACTCTATATAATTTTGTCTTTTTTCCTTTTGTATTGTATTAGACCGAATTATTTTATTTAATTCATACATTTTTAAAAACTAACCCTTATAATACGTCTACCGAACAAGCAAGCTTTAGATCGGATTCTACAATATATACAATATTTCATTTCAGCCCTCACTAACTCTAATTTCGAATAGTAATATATTACTACAAAAAGAAGTGATAACTATTTTTGTAATTCGATGAAATTTTTAGTTTATGCTCTTAGTGAATGTATTAAGAAAGATGTATAATAAATGTAGTTATTAAAAAAAAGAAAAATTTGGAGGCCGGTCTCCTTTGTAGACTTATTTGGTAATAAGTTCATCAAGAAAACTTGTTTAATATTAAGTTTATTTTGATTTTTATTATCCAAAATACCCCTAATAATTGTATTTAATTAAAACAATTTTGAAAACTAACAACTCCTAAATATTAAGAGTTTTATTAACATTAAAATTCTCTATCTCCCTCATATCTATCTATCTATATAATAAAGTAGGGCGAAATTTGAATTTTAGAGATAAAAAAAGTTTAGATCGTTTTGAAAAAAAACATAAACACATCCAACAGACAATGAAATCTCAATATAAAAAACGATTTAGATCATTTTATAAATATTCATCCAATGGTTTAATTTCCCGCCCGCAACATTTCTCTCACGCCTCTCTCTCTTCTGCTTATCTCTCCCAATCTTTCACGCCTATCTCTCCCAATCTTTCACGCCTATATCCTTGCCTTCCAAATTCATTCCCAAAATTTCTCTCCTGAAATTCATCTCAATATCCCCTATCTGTCAAATATCTCTCTCACACCCAGCTCTCTCTTACGCCTCTCTCTATCGCTCCCCTCTTCTACAAAGTAACGCCATAGCCAACAACAGCCAGCACTTGCCCACCTTGCTGATCTGGGTTTCTTTAATATACGAGCAATCCAAGTAAGTTGTACTGTGAAAACGATTCATAATATGATCTGTTTGAACAGATGGTGCATTAGTGGGTGAATAAGAATTGACTTGAGTGAATATGTGCTATATGTTAGGGGATCTGTAGTTTTTGTTTTTATATGATGCTTTTCATATTTTTCCAAGGAAGATTTTGGGCAAGTCGATTTCGCGGCCTTGGAACGGCTCGAGAACCCGGACTCCATGTCGATTCGGTCCGTACGATGAATTTGTTCCACAAGATTAGGGAAGTTGTGGCTGCTTTGGAGTGCCCTATGAAATTTACTCTTAAAGATTTGATAAAGCCTGACTTGGACCGAACTAAGTTGTTCCTCAGTGCGATACTCAATTTTTGTCCCCACAAGTTAAAGGGGCATTGATAAACTCTGCTTGCCATAATATCCGAGTCTATAGCTTAATTCTTTTGAAACCAAACTTCGTTACATTTGAATTCAGATAACCATCTCTAATTTGACTTAGAGCGAATATGTGTTGTATGTTAGGGAATTTTGTGACCATGGTTCCATATTGTTCGAATTGATATACAAGAATGGTTGAGTTGGTTATTATTGATATTTGTGTACATTGTTCTTCAAACTCATTCAACTCTGAACTTATTTGACAAAATGCCTGACTTAGCACAAGTTCTTGGTGTGTTAAGATTTGGTTGGAAAATTGCCACAGGTATGTTTTTTCGTTTAAGAAAATGAGTTAGAACTACGTATAAATCAAATATCTCTTATCATTTGTTGATATGTTCGAATTGATATACAAGAATGGTTGAGTTGGTTATCATTGATATGAGCGAGGTGTTGATTATCACAATACAAGCTGTATTCATTCTTTTGGAAGCTAGTGGAATCTCAAATAGCAAAACTATTTTTTTGACAACATTTGTGAACTTATTTTTATTATGTAGATGGTTGCAAGCAGTTTTTTGTTTGAGATATTTATTACATGGGTGGATTGAGTTTATAATTATGTTTTGTTATTGAATTGGATTATAGTAATGGTGATGATTATAAGAAAATTTTTATTGATTTCATTTATTACTTAAAGATTGTATATTTTATTTGGTTCTATTAGTATTTTTTTCCCTAATCTATTTGTATATATATGTGTTGTTGCTTTGGAGAATTTTTTGTTCATTTTTTACAAGTAATTTAGTGTCTTCAGGCACGGGTAATTACTAGTATCCATGTATAGAACTAGACATTATTCATGCCTGAAGACACATTACAACAAACAAAAAAATAAAAAATTAAACAATTGTCCAAATTTAAAAAGAATGGCCTAAAAAAATTTATACCAATTCTTTTTTTTAAATGACTTGAAATATATTGTTGATAATATTCTCCATATTAATGAAACTGTCATAAATATATAATATATATATATATATATATATATATATATATATATATATATATATATATATATATATATATATATATATTTTTTTTTTTTTTTTGGAGAGGGGGAAGGGGATGGGGGACTTGATCTCTTGACCTTAAGAAGATAAAATTTTTATGAGATAAAGAGTATCATTAAATCAAAAGCCCATTGCTAACACCATATATTCAAATGCTTTTAAAAAAAATAAATATACGTTAAAAATTTACAATCTTTAAGTAATAAATAAAATATTACTCATTTATAAGACTTACGAATTTATCACCTCTACTACAACTCAATCCAATAACATAACATAATTATAAATGTAACTATCATATTTCTAATCTATCCTACCCTCATACAATAAATACCTCAAGCAAAACAAAAATAAATACTAACAAAAAACAATTAAATTCACAATCTTTAAGCAAAAAAATAAAATCTTCCAAATATTGCTCATTTATAAAACACATGAATTTATTACCACTATCATCATTCAACCCCAAATGACACAATATAATTATAAATTTAATTACCAAATATTCAATCTTCCACATATATATGCTAGGAAACACACCAACACACATTTTGTTTTTGTTACTAACAAATCCTCCTAACCAATTACTGTTTTTATTAAAAATACAATAATTCAAGTTTTTAAGATAAAATAATAACAAATTAATATTTAATTAAAAATAGGGTAAAAATCACGAACATCTCTTGAATTTTGGAAATATTATATGGCCACCACATGAAATTTTATAAATAACACGGAGACCCCCTAAGATTTGAATTTATTACATAGAGACCCCTTTTGTCTCTCTTCCATCAATGTTTTAACGAAAATTGATAATTTCATTCCAAAAAAATGTATTATTTTTACAATTACTCTTCTCTAAATTTAGTACCAAAAAAATTAAAAATTTAATAAAATCAAATAAAATTTGATTCAGTATCCAAAAAATTGATATAATTTAGTACTCCAAAAAATTGATTAAATGAATTTCAATATTAATTTGATAACAATAAAAATAAATTTGATATTAATTCGACAAAGATGAATATAAAATGGACAAAATTAAATGTCAATTTTTTTAAGGTTCATTTC